CCCCCCCCCCCCCTTAATGCAGTCATTTAAAATGTCTTCTGTTCCACGAATTTGTTAACCGGCCATCGGCAAAAAAAGACAACAAAAATAAACAAACAATCAAGCAAGCAAGCAAGCAATAAAACAAGATAAAATAATAACAAAAATAGACCCTACCACTGACAACACCCATAAAATAATAACTTTTTAATCCTCTTAGTGGTTGTCATATTTACTAACACATTGTTCAACAGAAAACCTTAGGAAAATCATCATCTTTGTTGCAGTTATTGTAATAGGTTCCGTAGAAACAAAAGTATAATTGAATAAACAAATTAAAAAATAATAATAAAATGAATGTAATTCTGCTACACTTAAAACTATAATCGGATTCACTAAAAGTAACTAAAATTAATATTGATATGAACAACGAAATTCTAATTATAGATAATAGACTACAACAAAATGTTAATAAATACAAATTAATTTGCAATTTGCAAGCTAAAACTGATTGGTATTTCCTAAAATATGATGGTGCTGCGCTTCACATGGATACTTGGAGTGCACTGCACGGCAGTATATAACCGTAAAATTAACAAATAAGTAATTGGCTCGTCACGCAGTCCTCCGTGACGAAGCAGTAAGAGCCTGTGCGTGGTAGGCTATACAAGAGGGGTATCTGCACTCGACGGGGAAGACAATATGCACTACTACCTGCACCTGTTGCCGCAATGTCCCACGTCGTATTCGTACAAAGAATGCGTGCACATCACTTTTCCAGTTATATCTCCTCGGACACCATTTCCAGTCTTAAAAGGTACTCTTGTTCACGTGACAATACTTAGCAGACAGAATTGAGTGCCCCACAGCTGGATGCTGCAGTGCCGTGCCAAGCCTTGATACAGAAAATGAATACACAAATCATTCTTCTAGTTATATCTTGTCGGACACCACTTCCCACCTTAAAAAGTACTGTTGTTCATGTGACAATACTTCGCAGCTAGGTTTGAGTGCATTACAACTAAATGTGCAGTTCTTGCGCTAAGCGTAGATACAATAATGCACACACAACCATTTTTTTTCCGGTGATATCTTCTCGGAGACCATTTCCCACCTTAAGAAGTACTCTTGTTCAAGTGACAATACTTAGCAGCCAGATTTGAGTGCTTAACAGCTGGATGCTGCAGTGCCTGTGCCAAGCGTTCATAGGTCGCCTCAGATCCCCACTTTTCTGTCCACATGTGTAACACAGCTGCAGTGGTAAAAGTTAACGTAAAAATATCTGGCCCTGAACTTCGTTTTAAGCACAAATCATAAAGATTATTGTTTCTGTTTTCCATTGAATTTTTCTTGTTATTATTACATAATAATCATCATGATTAGTTTTTCCCCTTGGGGTTTGACGACGCCTTGTTGACATTAACCGACTCACTTATTAATCGCCTGCAATCAACTTTTCTTTTCTACTCATCTAAAACAACGCATCGACATTAGAGCTTATTAAGGCTTCAGCTTATGAAAGTATTTTCAGTAACTGTACCGTGGCATTTGCTGACCATATCACGCTCGTTCTCCTCGATCTGTGCCAGCGTGGCTTCAGTAAGGTGTAATGCTCGACAGAACATCTTCCAAGAAGCACAAAATTCACCAGCAATATCGAGAAGGTCTTCACTGGATGGCGTGCCAGCCTTAACTGAAGGCGATGAAGGCAAAACTACATAATCTGTGAAAAATAGGAAACAAATCCACTTGATGAACAAGCTACACAGTAATCCCACATGTCCATTCTAGCCTTCGAGAGTAGACTCCGTTTCGGCTCTTGTTTCAGCCGCAGAGAAAAGAGCTCCTTTCTCCACCCCCACTGTGTAATGGTTAAGCGCGTTAGCCGCAAGGGTGGTGCTACTTGTGAACTATGCATGACTATGAACTAGACAAGGTGCAAGGTGGAAAGCAGGCAAAGTTGGCCGCCAAAAACCACTTTTACAACAATAATAGAAACAACAAAACAAAGAAGGAAAACTAGACAATTTATAAGAGCAGTTATCGTGCTAAAAAAAAAAATGTTGAAGTTCCCAATGACGAGCCGGTCACCCTATGATCCTGTGAACTAATAAGTGGAACTTGATAAAAAGTATTTTTAACAAGGACTCCAGCACTTACCATTACAGGGATCGCTGTGCACGTTACAGTACTTTGCAGCAAGATCTGCTCGTCCTAGTTGTTGGAATGCTTCCGCAAGACATTGATAATTTGCTGTGTCTCCACAAGACTCCAACCATTTCTTTAGCATACCTGAAGGGGGATCAAGTTACCTTAACTTTTAAACATGGAAATGAGGAGAAAATATACACCGCAGACGTCTCATATCTACATGCCAGAACTTGAAAGTCTTGGTTTCTCTCTAAATATTAACTTTGTTTTCTTCACTTTTAGTAGAATACCTCCAAAGATGAGTTTATTTAAGCGTTTAAGGGCGTGTTTTCAACTGAAATATTTTGCATGTCTTTAAACCCAAGGCAAGTCATGCAAATTTGTTCATCAGTAAACACATGATTAAACCTATTACACACCATAACTCTTTTCAATAAGCTTCCCCTCATCCTCTTCAATCTGTCCTAGCTGTGGTTTGTCTAGGTGAAGTGCCCGTCCAAACATTTTCCACGAGGAACCAAGGAAACCAAGGTCGTAAGCAATAAGAAGAAGGTCGTCAGTTGAAGGTTTGCCACACTTGAGAGATGCAAAATCTGTTAAAGCAGCCTTTTATGAATACGAGTTATCACATGACTTAAAAACATCCCCTTTAGAGTGATTATCAGGGCGAAGTTCAGTTAAGGTGCAGAACAGGCGGTTCGCGTTTTTCAGGCGAGCGAAAGAAAGCGCGAGGCGGACGTGGAACACCAGACCACATGACGGGAGAGGAGTGAAACAAATAACGCATTTTTGTTTTGCTACTCTCCCAACGCGCGTCTCTGGCCCTGCACGCCCGTTTCGCGCTCGCCTTCGGTCGCCTGATAAACGCGAGAAAAATAACGGCTGTTTTGCAGATTAGTTTCAGTGGAAACGAAATGACGAACGGTAATGAAAATATATAACACAAGAAAGATAAATTCTGAGCAGTTGCCTGGTCCAATCAGTCAAAGTGGAATTTGGACGGTGATTCAGACATTTTTTTACAACGGTTTACCACTTAGAAAGAGCGTATTATTAGCGGTACAGATCAAGGAAGCAACAGCTACTATGAAGATACGCTTTCAAACTCTAGTTGTTTGACGCGGCTTTTAACACAAGCATGGCACATAACAAAGCAAGCAAAGAAACAAACCACATGAAAAGGAAATCAAGACGGTACCATTTAAAATTTCGTTGGCCTTAGACGAGCACTCCAAGGTCTCTCCTCATTCTAATTTGAATCAAACAAAGGAGTAACACAAGCATTAGCAAAGGCGCAATATCAGTTTACTTTATTACCAAGCAGAGACTCGTATGAGACATCTAAACAAATGGCATCAGTGACAAGATTACCTGAGCTGTATGGGCTTGGAACCATTTCTCCAATCCATTCACCTTAACTGCTCCACCACTGTAGCTCTTCGCACAAATAGGCTCTTCTTCGGGATGTACTCGGAGTAGATGAAGGCACTCATCCTGAGAACAACTTGTTGATTTATGTTTTGTGCACTGGTCTCCATTTTTCGAGCAGAGACAGCAAGCGACACGCATTTCATACTGGATGCTCTGCAACCAGTACAGCTCAGACGTAAGAGCTTTCAAAGACATCTCAAGGAAGGCACGAACTTCATTGGCCATTTTCGTCGAGGCAGCTGTCATTGACCCACTCATGGAACGACATCTCTGACTCATCTTCAACACTATCTTGATAAATCTCTTTCTGCAAATCAGGAAAAGCTCGAAAGCACTCTGCATTCCAATGAAAAGCCTTGCACCATTATTGTACAGTTGTGGAGACTGCTTGAACCCTTGTTGGGAGCACCAGCTGATAGATCTCGACAACAGTTGAGAAAAGAGCCCGTGTGGAACAAATCCATCAGAGAAATAGATATATAGTGGACACGGATCACTATCGGAGGGACTTATCTTGCACAGACCTGATGGGGATGATCTGAGCTGAGCTGGAACAAAGTATTCTTGCACCTGATCGTCCGTCGAAGACAAGCAGGAGAACTTGCCAATTAAGCCATACAGCTCCATCATATCAAGGACGTCCTGCTTTGAAAGGCCATTCTGAATGAAATCCGTGAAAACGTGATCTACAAGAGCCATTCTAAGGATGCCGTTTTCCTCTAGCTCGCGCCAACATTTGGAACATACAGGATCCTAAAATACAGAACAATTAAAAAACATCTTCAAAATATAAATAAATCTCACGCAGGCCTTTAGTTAGAATGATCGATTTGTGTTTTTGTTCGCAATAACACTGATAGAAGTGCTTGAATGCCTAATTTTAGAGACATTCACAAGAAAATCGCGGGCGAGGGCTGAGAAAATGTTTGCGCTATCAAGAGGTTGTGTATATTCTCACAGACAATAGCTGTCGACAAGCTGACGAAAAAGAAATAGTTCAGCTATGTTTAAATAGTTTATCTCAAGAAATGTTACAGTTATTGAATGATACGCCACTACACGATGTGCCTGTAACACCTTATCAGTGCAAAAACGAGGGAAGACATTAACAAAGTCCTCATTAACGGACGTAACCAAGATTTTTAACGAGATTTTTGTAAGGGAAAGTACATGAAGATATATGAGACATGCAGATTTGAGGACAAAAACAACTACGAGTACTACAATTAAATTTTAAGATTTTTATGCGTATTCTCAAAAAATAGACACTCCGGAATGCTTTTAGTACTTTTTTCTCCGGAAAAGTTAGCACCGTTACCTTTATGAAATCACTTCTAACATCTGACAACTCTTGCTTCCGTCACTAGGATATTATCGCTAAAACTCGTAATAAGAAGACGACGGCTGTCCCGTTTTCCCCCAATAATGAAACTGGTTCACGCGCACTTTATTTTGCATTGACTGCAATCTAGAACTCGTATTCGTCCGCGTCTTAGAATCGCACAGTCCCTAATGACTTACTTACCACCTCATTGAAAGGCGGGACAGTTATCAGTTGTTTAAATAGGTTTATAAGCCACTGAGCCTGCAGCACTACTGTATGGCCATGCTTGACTATAACACCAAGATCATGATAGAAATTCAACAAGGCCGTCAACTCCGCATCGTCCTCGATTTGACAAACTCTCCTGGTGACGGTGAGAAGGTGGTCCACGGACATGTGGAATGTCTTCGTGGCAACCAATGCCTCAACAACTTTTTCGAAATTAAACCATCTGTGAACAAAAAAGGGAAAACGAAAAAACCGTTACAAGTAAACATGACCAAAAAAGGCCTGATTGGAGGTAAAAAAGTGGGTTTGACATTTTGTATTTGCTTTGTGCATTAGATGGGGGGGGGGGGGGGGGAAAAAAAAATTTTTATTTTCCCCCCCGTTTTTTTCGGAAAGTGAAACCCCCCAAACTAAAAAAAAAAAAAAAAAAAGAAGAACGAGACAGATAAGCAAAGCGCACAAAAAAAAAAAAAAAAAAAATATATGGTCTTTCCTTTTTTTATACTAGTTTTTATAATTCCTTTTTTTNTCGACTGCAAAGAATGGCCTGATCACGTGCTCTTCGTAAGTGTTGCCCGAGATACCCCTCTTGATGCACTTTTCCATTTTCTTGGGGTCTTCAAAAGGGTGATCAGCATTTGTACCAACAATGAAGACTGGTGGACGAAGATAGGGCAAGTTTATGCCTTGATGATTTGCTCCTTGCACAGCTTTACTCTCTGTGGGACGTCGAATACTATGAACAGAAACTAACCAGGCCAGTAAACTATCTAAGTTGGTCTCACTGTTTGGGTTGTCCAAGAGAAGATCATGAATACCTTGTCTGACACAGGGCTCAGCTTCGGCACTTAGACTTTTGCTAAGATTATAGACCAAGACGTACACTGCTCGCGGTGAAAGAAAGACAGGATGTGACGCATAGTATAGGTGCTGTCCAGCAAAATCCCACAGCGTCAAAATGACTTCCTTTGCTTTGATGTCATCATCCAATTTGAGCCGCTCCAAGTATTGAATGACCAACTCTGTGACATCGTCCGACAACGCTGCAGTGGTGTCGATATTTAACTGCACACCTTGATCTGATGAACTGGTTGAACTTTTCCCCTCTGCATTATCATCCCTCGAGCCATGAAGCTCTGAGGTGCTTTTAGGTTTTATACTCGTTGTCGACTGGGCTACGGTTGACAAGGTCTCAGATTGCTTTGGCCTTATGCCGTCCAGTTGGTCCCTATTACTCTATAAAACAATCAGGTGTATAACAATCTTTAGAAAAAATTGAACTGGACTGAAGGACCACGGGTTACTGACCGAAAAGTAAACTGATATTTTGCCATTCTTCAAAGACTTCAAATGACTCCCTAGCCCTATGTGTCACAACTAGATCAGAGAATAACATCTTCACTGTTCGGACAACAAAAACAAAAACAACAAACAACAACAAAACAAAATAAAACGAAGCTGCTGTTTGAGTAGAACTCATTGAATTATCAGTTTACTTTCAAGCTATAAAGAAAAAAAAATCATCATCTCGTCCACAGCAACAAAATATTACAACAAATGTACAAATATAGTTCATCAATGATACCTCTTCTAAGACTCCCGCGGACTGTGAAATATCTTGTTTTTCAACTAGTCCTTTGGTCAAATCTTTGGCGATGAACATTGCAATGTCTTCCGCAAACTCAGATACTTCAAGCTTCTTATCTTTTATAGGCTCCCAATTTTTTATTTGGTCGACGTCCAGTTGGCATTTTGAAGGATCAACTTCAACTCCAACGGTACTCTCTTCCTGTGGATTGAAAGGCATTCCCAAAAGAGACTTTTTGAGACTCGTTTTGCCCGCCCTTTCCTGGCCAAGTAGCATTATGCGACCACGGTAAACTTTCACCTTTCCATTCTGCAGGGCTTTTTGGAAGGCAAGTTCGGCTTCTGGACCCCGTGCTCGAATCTCTGGCGGTACAGAGGCGCCTGGTAAGAAAGGAAGGTGTTTTAAGACTAGTGAATTATAAAGGAGATCATTCATGTCCCCGTCCGTTCCACTGGACAACGGATCCGGCGACTTTTGCAAAGTTAGATACACTTCCCTCGCTTTACATGTATTTGTCTCCGACTGGCTGCTTCAATTTTTTTAAAGATCGACGTACCCTTAAACACATAAGTAAATAAATAAGTTAATATCATAGGTGACGAATTGATCCTTAATTTTGGCGCGAAATTTCAGCGTTTATACTACTACATGAAAAATTACTGCAATCTGATTGGCTTAGAGCAGTGGTATTTCAACTTAATTTGAAATACCTACATGTGAAAATTACAAACCTTTTGCGGGTAGTAGTATAAACAAATAATAGCATGATTTGTACGTGATATTTGGCATAATTACCACTCGTGATATTTCAAAATTGACTCAAATTTCACTCGCCTAACGGCTCGTGAAATTACGTATAACAATTTTGAAATATCACTCATGGTATTTGTACCAAATATCACTACGAATCGTGCTATTACCTACAATAATTTGTAATTTCACATGTGAAATTACAAAATTGCCATGGCAACCTTCCGTACGTCTCAGTGTCAAGATGACGACGAAGTTTTAAAATGCCGTGAATGAGGACGTCAGGGCACAAAAAGACGCTTTAGAAAACCTGAACACACAAGAGAACATCAAGAAGGATTCTACCAGGTATTTTGCCGAAAACGTCTGAAAAATTCTGTACTTTATAAGCCAAATTTAAGGTCTAGACATTTGAGAGAGTGGAGTTCTCGATCGATACGATCCAGGATAAAGATGTCAAAAATCCAAGATTGCTAACGTAATTCGTCACCCATGATATTAATAGGTAATCAAATGGTATACTCGTGAAATTAGGGAATAATTTCACTCGCGTTTTGTCCAAATCCTAATAATTTCCCGAGCCTTAGGCTCGGGAATGGACAAAAGGCGCGTGAAATAATTCCCTAATTTCACTCGTCACCATTTGATTACACATACAAACAAGCAAGCAACCAAGTAAGTAAGTAAAGAAATAGTATAAATTATGCTTGTCGGAAAGGCAGCATTTAATCACTGACGCGGCAGGATGAATATTGGTTTGATTTTATGAGACAAATTTAAAATTTAACAACGTACCGTCCATAATGTTGTACCCCAACACTTCCTTCACGTGCTCGCCCTTAAAAAATCCAATTTTCCAGTTTTGGCTTTCACCTAACCAGACAGTTTTGTCTTTCCTGCAAACAGATGCAAAGTCTTAGGCAGATAACACTGTATTTTTAACCTGCCTTACAAGGTGGACACCTCTCTTAATTAATATGGTCCCAGCTAAATGCAAACACTGCTTTTTGACCTAATTCAGGTCGCCACTTCTCTTAACTAGACAACACTAAGTCATGCAACCAGCAGCATACAATCGCTGCTTCTCTCAAACTTCCTTAGGTAGACGCCTCTCTTTAATATATAATAATATAATAATAATTTATTATTTATTAGGCGCAAAATAGCATTCAAATATATGATCTAAGGCGCACTAACAAAAAATAAAACAAAATAGAATAGAAAACCCTAAAAATTTAGTATAAATCTCTCTATATATACAATTAAAAAGGCAATTATAAGATTCGACTAAAAAATGTATTGAAACTTAGTAATTGAAATCATCTTAAAAACGTTAATCGACGAGTCACTCCTGAGTCGTAAAACTATAAATCATAGGCTTCTTTAAAAGGTAAAGTTTTTAGTTTGGCTTTAAAAGGCTTCAAGCTTGTTTCCATCCTTAATGCACTTGGAGGTTTGTTCCATAGAGTCGGCGCAGCCACTTGGAAAGCCCTGTTGCCTAAGGTCTTTTTAGACTTGAACGTCGGTGGAGCAAGTGAACACTCACTCATGTTCCCAACCTCACACAAAGGCAGCATGTTTTCCTCTTAAAGGTTGAAACCCCACTTAGTCAGCGGTCACTTCGTTATTTCCTAGCCAGATAATAACACTGCAGTTTTAACCCCTTAGAAGGACTTCTTCTTAAACAAACACCTAAAAAAAGGCTCTTGCCTTTGGAGGAATCGACTGTACTTTGGTTACTAAAAAGAAAAGCTTACTTGTGCCTGTCCTTGGCAATCAGTGTNCAGTTTTAACCCCTTAGAAGGACTTCTTCTTAAACAAACACCTAAAAAAAGGCTCTTGCCTTTGGAGGAATCGACTGTACTTTGGTTACTAAAAAGAAAAGCTTACTTGTGCCTGTCCTTGGCAATCAGTGTAATAATCTCTCCAGTTCTACAGCTGATAAATTCAGGTGACTCGGCAACAAAACTAGTCGTTACTCTCACTTTCGTTGGAAGCTTCTGCAGAAGTAAAATACAGTGATTTTGGAATTACGCAGGTCCCATATTAAGTGGACACAAGTGTCAGTGAATAAGCTTCAAACGTTTCTTTCCATATTTTCTGTGAAACGGACCACTGTATTCAGCGCACATTTCTATTAGTGCCGTAGGGGGTTCGCTTAATGTAGTTTTGACTTGAGACTTCTTTTAGATAGGAGAATGTTCGATAAGAATAAATACACCCACAAAGGCACAAAACAATTAAACTTCATTTCAGTACAGTTTATTTTATTTTTAGTTTAAAACTAGTATAAGTGTATGTGTTGGTGTCATGTTAACCCTGGTTCAATATATGCATTTTCCTTTATGTGCATACACGTTAGAGTTAACCATGCCTCTTGACTTCTCCAAAACGTCTGTGCAAGAAGTTTCTTAAAGATGGAAAAAAGTGGGGATGAAGTGAGGGGGAATACATTTCAATTACTATTAGTAACAATCAAAGATCAAGAAGTGGTTCCACAAACCACGTCTTCTACGTCTTTGGCAATTTGCTGATGTCATTCGCCCTCAAAAATCTGTGAGTATGCCAGGCAGGTGTCCCAATATTTGTCAAGCAACACTGCACATATGAAGTCTCACTTCAAATTATATTCGGGAGTGCATGTACTCTATGTATCATTTAAAGAGTAACTGCTACACTACTGTGACATATCAGGTGACGCAAATATATTTCCGTAAATTCTTATTTGGAAATGGACTAAAATTACTAGCACCAGATCTATACGATGACTAATAAAGGAAAAACACCCTACGGCAAAATTATCAAATTTTAACAGACACAAATGAATCACAGAAGTACATCAAATTAAATAAACCTACTTGTGCAACAAGCAATTCTCCAATTTCCTTAAAGGACGGTCTTGCTTCTGGGTTTTCTTGCAAACAACGATCAAAAACGTCGCAAAAATGAGATGGGCAACCGAAGCCATGTTTGCTATTGGTCTGAAACGTACAACGAAAAAAGAGGGAGGAAGGGGGTATAAAAGCAGTATTAATGGAGTTAAAATGTAGTTCTGACTATCACCATCACTGACACTATTGCGATCTTGCTCTCTTTCACATGCCAGTTAACAAACCATTTTAAAATAATTATTATACTAAATAAATAAATAAATCAAGGCGACTATTGGTTCATCTTAAAAGCAAAAAATTTTTTTCGCAAGTCGAACGCATTTCGTAGAAATAAAATACCAGTAAATAATATTATGCTTAGTAATCAGCAAGATGCAAACAGGCTACAACATCGAAATTGATTTAATCATTTCAAAAGGAAACCCTTTCCTCCCTTCTAAGAAGCCTCTGCATCTTCTTTGAGTCAATTCGCTAAAAAAATTGGTACCTTTACTCTAAATATGCAGACTCTTTCACGCCATTTTTAATCTACTGTAAACAAAAGCATCGGGCATCAAAAACTAAGGCTACCTTGTGACTTATGGTTAGCCAAGGGAGATTATGATCCTCCGTGTAACTAGCAAAGTGCTCAGCGAATAGCCTGGCAAAATGGTAAACCACGTCCCTCTGTGACAAACGTACGTTTCTAAAATACAGCATTATCCATACATTAGCCTACAACCTGAACAATGTTACCGTTTTTCCAGTTTAAATTTTAATACCCCTGTATACCAAAATAACTGAAGAAGAAAGAACATTCAGCGCAACCAGAAAACCAAAAAAAGTGCGAGTGTCAAGATTTTACGAAAAAAGGAAATGCACCAGATACTTGAAACTAAACAAAAGGCAAATGTTGAAGGTTTATCGATTCTAGATTTTACACGATAAGTATTATTTAATCATTGATTTACACTCTGGGCCAAACCAGTCCTCGACAAATCAGACATTTAGGCTCAATTTACGTATCCTTCTCATTTCTTTTCATTTCTTGAAAAAACTTGCCAGATGGACTTCGATTGCTGACCAAAGCCCAGTTGTTTGAAAGGTGGATAAAGCTATTCACTGGATAAATCTCTATCTAGTGGATAACATAATTGATTTCCCTAATACGTATCCAATGGATGGCGATTTATTTGGTGGAGAGCTAGCCTGCGTAGCTGGCAGGATTCTGGCGCCCGGGGTACTGTTTTGACGGCGGAGCCGCCACGCGAAACAAGCGGCCCGCCTGCCACATTTCTTATGAGTTTTGAATGCCGCCCATTTTGGAATTCTCAAGCCTTTTGCCAGCCTGATAGCAGTCCCCTTATGGTCAGCAGTTGATTGGGCAAGGTGAAAGAACACGTGCAGCAAGCAAAGCAATCCCAAAGGAGTGTTAGCAATAATTTTATGCACATGTTTAAGACTATCCCTGTCCTTAATAACCTCCCAACCCCACCTAATAAGTAACTTTGTACTGTGATACACGTTTTAAAGTGCGAAAGTACAACTGCATGATTGATCTGAATTTGCCTACCACGTTTGATCATTTGATTACCCAATCAGGAAGAATGATGTAATACGAAACTGACTCGACCTGCAAACGAGCCAGGCCATACGTAACAATCAAGTCAACTTCAGAAACTAAAACTTTATCAAACGGTCATTTTGCCGCAATAAAAAGCTTTATGCTTTAAAAGAACCGCTTCAAATTCTGTTATAGAC